TGGTGAGAAACTTGATTCCCAGGAATTGTAATTCCTGTGATGGACATAGTTCTGATTTCCTCCTGTTGACTAACCATCCTAGTTGAGTTAGTAGTTGAATTGTCAAACATAGCTGATGTTTGAGTTGATTTGCTGATTGATGTGCCTGAATGCCGTCGTCTGATAGAAGGCATTGCGAACTTCTCTCTGATGTAGAAACGCTACAATTTGTTTTGTGACACGCGTAAATAGCCATGGGGCTGAGGAAATTCCAAAGGGGAGTACTTTCCATTGATAGTGCTTCCCTTGATATGGGAGTTCTTTTGGGGTTCTAGAAATACCGGGGAATAAAACCCTGGTGTGAGACTGTTTTCTTCTATAATCTCTACTGCATTCTTTGTCAGTAGTGAATTGACGGCCTTGATACATTGTTGGTCTGAATAATGATGTATCTGTGGTGTAATGGTGAGAGGTGGTCTCGCCTTGAGTTGAATCCTGTAGCCTTCGCGTAAAACTTGTACCACAAAGTCATCTTGTAATATTTCCCGATTTTTCCAGTACAAACCTAGACGTCCCCCCCCTGGTGTGGGCTTCACTGGAATGACTGGAGGGGGGACGACCCAGTCGGTCCGAAGCTGATTTTCATTGACGTGTTGAACGGGAGGATCCTGATGAACAACCTCCCCCGGAACGTCCTCTTGAGTTGTTATACGGACGACGAAAATTAGTTGTTTTGCCTCCTCAAGCTCCAGTAACTCTCTTATCTCTGGCCTTTTATATGCCTGGGAATTTTGAACGAAATTGTCCTCTACGTGATGATTGTCGATACATGTTGTTCATCGTCTACATAGATCTGATACGCATCTGATCTCTGTTGTCCTGACATGCTTCCCGTGATGTTGATCTTATACTTCCATCAAATAATGTGGACGCAGCCCATGGTTGTCGTAGAAGCGCCTTAATATGAAAATCTGGCCAATTGCAAGATGCGAGAAGACCTTGACGACGAAGTAGGGTTAGTCCTGCTGATGTTGATGCCAAATGATCAGACATAGATTCCTGATCCTTCTTTTGTGAAACCAACGCTGATAATATCATCCTTTCTGTTTCTGTTTTTGGATTCTGTAAGTTGTTGATTAGAGCTTCATTTATGGCTCTAGATCTGGCTAGTCCAAAGAAAGTATGTCTTATCGTCATGTCTAAGTTGGCCAACTTCCTGTCTTCAACTTTGTAAGTGTGTGATTTAGATTCATTGATGAGATAATAATCATCGTCAATCTCTGGTGCTCTGAAGAATTGTTCCATACTATGTAGTGGAAATTTCCTTGCATTAAATGATGGTGTATGTTGACCTTGATGTCTGGTAGCATTGTCTGTGTTCTTGTAAACTCGATTCTGAAGTGGGTGTCTCCTCCTGAATACTATCATTTATTGACGTAGTCTGCGTAATTATCTGTTGATTATCTAATGATGAACGCTGTTGCATTGCCAAAACTACTTGGCATGTAATACTGGCTACAAAATCTTGATCTACTGCATGGTAGATTTGTTGAACCTGTCGGGTTCGCGAAAGCTTGACTTATATCATCCCTCTGTTGATGAGTTGAAACTCCCTGTTGTCTGCAGTGTAACAGTTGTCTGATTTGTTGAGCCTTTCGCAATTCTTGTAGAGGTTGAATGGTCAGTAGGCGTAGTCAGCGATGTTTGTGATGATCTATTCTGATTGTCTGTAGAAGGGTTCGCGAACCCTGATGTCATAGAAGGGTTTGCGAACCCTGATATCGTGCAGGGAGGGTTCGCGAACCCTGATGTGGCAGTAGTTGATCTACGCTGGGATGAATGTTTCTTTCTCAACGATGATGATTTTGATGAATGTTGTTGCGAACCTGAGTTCACTAATTCTCTAGGAGTACTAGTAGATGTAGTCTGAGATGTAGTCAAGATGATCTGCGGTTCTAAAACTGGTGGTGATCTGTCGAGTCGAGATATGGCATTCTTAAATGTCATAGGAGTATCTGATGATCTCATAGATATAGACGATGTATATCTTGTAGATGTACATTTTGCAGACAATCTAGACAATCGTTTCTTCCTCGCTAGACATTGTAATTCAGTCTCCTCTATCTGAGGTGACTTTCTCTTGAGAGGTAGACTGCGTAGCTGTTTCTGAAAGCGTGACAGAAATGGGAGAAATCCCTGGGAAATTCTCCTTATTGTGTTGTGACATGTTAGTATTGGTTATATGAGACCTACCCCTTACCACTTATTTGTTGACACGATGCTGTTTATAGTCCTGTGTAAGCAGGCCGATAAATATTTAGTAAACAATTGTGTTGATAAATCAATGCAATATTGACATCGTGATGCAAAAGAACACGTATGAAGGCGACAAGAGGAGCAAACAGGATGGGCCACACAGATAGTCTCAATCTGCATTGTTGACATGCCACCATTGAAAAACACCCCACCTGCAACGAAGTGAAAATGCGTAATTTAGTAGCAATTTACATGATAATATACATATACCGTATATTACCGTCTATAAGACGACCCCATGGATAAGACAACCCCCAAACTTGACCCTTTAATTCAGTGTCAAAATGGTATGTTTCGTGCATAAGTCGATCCCCCGAGATGGGGTCCTAATCGCAGCAAACACAGACAACTGGCAGTTACCAATAATTATAACTTTGGTCCACATTATTCAAAGAATTCACAATCATATATATTGCGGATCGAAACGAAGTGTAGTTGACAGAAAATGCATAATATATTTTGTTCTCTAAATATCATATTTATTGTAGCAACAAACTGGCTTGCATATTTTACCCCATTCAACAATCACGAACTGATTACCGCCTTGTTTTCCATTGACTGCTAGTTTACAGTAACATCGGTAAAAATGTGTGAATTTAAATGGCTTCCGTATTTTACCCCATTCCATGTGCGTACAACTTCTGCTTACCACGTTCATGAGGGTCCGTATAACCTTAGTGTTGATTATATATATTTTACATAAAAACTGTAATTAAAATTACACAATGCTAGGTTATATTTCTTTGGGTTAAATAATAGTACTCTGTATTATATTTTATTGAGGACTGCGTCAGAATTCGTCCCGTCATATTATTGTGCATGTTTGAACTTGTTCGCTGCTGATTGCTATTTCTGGCTCAAATACACATGTTAATTTTAATTTTAATTAATTTATAGAGCAAAACCTGTAATTAAAATTACACAATGCTAGGACATATTTCTTTGGGTTAAATAATAGTACTCTGTATTATATTTTACTGATGACTGCGTCAGAATTCGTCCCGTTATATTATTGTGCATGTTTGAACTTGATCGCCGGGAAACATGCACAGCTTATTGCTATTTCCGGCTCAGATACACACGGTAATCTTAATCCCTGCAAATAATACAATGCCCAGCAAAAACAACTTAGAACTTAAAAGGTAAATTATCTTGTCTAGTGATGTTTAATTGCAAATTTGACGTCTCTACTGACAAAGTCGTCTTCTGTTGTTTGTTAATGCGAAGTGATAACATGTTGTTTTCTTACCCCTCGAAAAAAGTTTGACGAAAGCGTAACCCATGGATAAGACGACCCCCTTCTACAGACTGCTTTTTTTGGTCCTCAAAATTCGGCTTATAGATGGTCATATACGGTAGAAGCATCTAATATGGATCTAAATACAATCTGCGGTCACAAATTTATATTATAAGGCCGAAATGAAAGGATATCTGCCGCAAATAGGACCCGTAAGGACCGCCCGACCGTCGGCGAGGGCGATGAAGGAGAGAGTGATAAGAGCTAGTTTCAGGTCACGTGGGAACAAGGGAGGTAACCCAGGGTGAGTTATTGTACAGACGCTTCAGTGAATTTGAATAGGATTCAAGGTTTCCACTTCACTGTCGAAAGAGAAGGGAGATAAGCAATAATCATGAGTCAGGATAAGGAAAACTATATTATCTCCGCTTCTTTTTAATATTGTGCGTGGCATGGCATCTTCCTGTGGCAAGGGAGTTAACTCACTACAAAAATCTAGTCTTGACCCTTGCCAACTTGTGGAGAGTGAAAAGACACAGGCGAGAGTGCTGCGAAATATGAAAAAATTCTTGAATTCATCTCCAATGTGATAATAAATGTAAGATTCCATAAAAATGTGTTATAATATTTCCAGACATGTGCGAAGTGACTGATAGGATAAACAACTCAGAAGGGCTAATCACATATCCATCCTGACACACAGACAGAAAGACAGAAAATGCTCATCATTATTTCTCTGAGTGTTCAATATACAAACAGCATGTTAAGAGCTATTCAAGATGCTTTTGACTAATTCTGTTATTATGCATATCTGTTCTTCTAAACAGTTTCAGGGCTACAGATAGGCCGTACTGCGTATGTACGGATAAAAAATATACACGATACGGTAGGAAATAATTTAGAAAACGTAGCAGATACGCAATACAGCAATCTTAGAATCATTTACGGACATATTTATCAGAAAAAGTATTGTTTAATTGCTTATTGACCGTTTACACCAGGGTAGCAATGCTGTCACGCATATATGAAACGAGGCACAAGTTTAATGATACACCATTAAATTCCATTCACTACTGTAAATGTACTCTTATTGTTTTCCAGTACTCATATATTGAAAAAATAAGGAGTACGTTCTCCTGATGTTGAAAAATTATCTGGAGCCCTGAGTTTTATTTATGGATCTGACTAATAAGAAAAAGGAAACTATATTCCAAAATGCACACCTGTAATTTTCTGACTCTTTACCTTTTGTATATTTCACCTTTACTGTCACTCTTCCTCTGTGTCTGTTTCTAACAACTGCTTGTGATGTAATTTGTTATTGCAGGGAGCACATATGGATACATGGTCTCTGGTTATCGTAAATATTCTTGAGGAGTTGTTTTTTTAAATGTTTTAAACTTGTCCCTTATCCTCTTTAGATTGTGAATTAAAATAATTAGTTTCAACTAAATTAAGGAAAGCTCACCTTATCACAAGACATTCCAAGCACAAAGGCCAGTTCACCTCCCTTGGACGTACCGACCACTCCAATACCTCCTGGCTGGACATTGGGATGAGACGCCAGCCAGTCTACAGCATCCTGAACAAAATGGAACAAACAAATAACACATGGTGGCATGTGGTCACAAATCAGGTGAAGTTAAGCAATGTTGGGTGCGGAGAGTCCTTGGATGGGTGACCATGTTTGGCAACTTGACTCCTGGGAGTTTCTAGAACTTCAGTCCTGCCCCACAAAGAAGCACATGTGATACATGTGGTCTCACCTTAGGCAAGTGAGTCTGTTCAAAACTGCCTCTGTTCACCCAGCAGAAAATGGGTACTCAGTGGGATAACGTCATGTGACTATAACCTTCTAGCACCTAACAGGCAGCTTGGGTTATCCGGGGTAACAGTAATACAGTCAAATCTCGTTAATTCGACACTTGTGGTTGCAGAGAAATATGTTGGATTAACGAAAATGTCGGATTAATGTATTTGTGTGAAAATTGATATTTTTATACTTATCCTGACTCATGATCTTTTGCTTATCTCCCTTTTCCTTGCGAATGGTAGTGGAACACTTGAATCCCTTGAAGTTCCCAAAGCGGATGTAAAAATACACTCACCCACGAGTTACCTCCCTTTTCCCGCGTAAACAGTCATGTGACCAGCCCTACTTGTCACTCTCTCCTAATTTTTCTGCAAAGCACTTTGATCAGCTGTGCAATCCAAAGTGTTTACAGCGGGGAGTTCTGGAGGGATTGACCTCATGAGTCAGGATAAGTATAAAAATATCAATTTTACTTGAAAAATTACATATTTTTTCTTATCCTGACTCATGATCTTTCGCTTATAGAATGCGATGGATTGGTGGTCGGTCAGGCCACTTCCTGGATTCATCAGCTGTTCTTTAGATATGTCCTGTATCCCCCCAATGGGAACTGCATAGCGGCATTTCCGAGATCCTATTCTTCCAACTTCCGTTATAACTCGGGGGGACCACTTCTTGTCTTACTTCCATCTCTGACAAGTTGAATCATCTTGATTCATGTGGCTTCAGATAAACTAGTATCTTCTTATTACTATATATCTTATAACAACCCATAGATTATGATAAGATCCTTATCATAAATGAGTTGCGACCCCTTCACGTACAGGTAAGATGTTTACCCGTACAGGATCTGTAATCACTCATGCTAGTATGTCCTAGACTGTGTGCATGGACTTTCAAACTAATACTTTCCTTAGTAAAAGTTATCAACAAGTCAACGTGATAAAGTGTAAGATTTTCCAACTCAGCGCCTTTGAGGAACCGTTAGTTGCTGTGTTACAATGAGAGGTCCAAATTGGCGAATGCCTGAGACGTCTTCAGTGGTTATGTCTCGGAGGTAGTGGTTGGCAAACACTGTATCCGACTTCCAAAAGCAGCCTCCATAATTGCTGATATAGAGCAATTTCCGTGCAGAGCCAATGTTGACGCCAGTGCTCTGACTTCGTGTGGGTTGGAAGCTCTAGGAGGTTCTAGTCCTGCTGCTTTATAGGCTCTCAATATGACGGCTCTAAATTCAGAACGATATCGTCGTTCTTGAGACTTCTACTTATGTCTCTGTGGATAATGGGATGAACAGGCGCTTGAATTTTCGTCTCCTTGTCTTAGTCTTTTGAAGATATATCTTCAGGGCTCTGACCGGACACAAGGATAGGTCCTCTATATCCTCTGGGCCGAGGATTGTAGATAGCGCTGGTACGTGGAACTGTCTATATGGCTGACCAGGTAGTTGGTTCTTGACAGTGAAGTCCCATCTAAGTCGTAGATGAACTGCAGCATGTTGCCCCCGTGTCGAATCTGGTTCGACCAAAGTCCAGCGCATGTATCTCTGATATTCGAGCTGCCGTGGCTAGCGCAAGCAGGAACAGAGTCTTCTGTGTCAGCAGCTCGAAGGTAGTCTGATCTAGATGTTTGTAGGCATCACTTGTAAGATGACGTAGAATTACATTCAGATCCCAGGCTGGAGCTCTGAACTTCTTTTGCTGGTCCTCCAGTTTAAAGATCGCAGCAGAGCAAGTAATTCTGGTACTTTCGTCAACTTGATGCCTGTTTTCATGGTAATCACTGTACTGATGGCAGCCAGGTATGTAGATAATGTCGAACCTTTCAGATGTCTAGTCTGTCTAAGATGACACAGGTATTCCGCCACTTGAGGATGAGTAGCTTTCATAGCAATGAATCCTTTCCACCTTGCATAAGTCTCAAACTTCAGCCACTTGTCATCATACAGGTTACGAGTAGGTCTGCGTAACGCTAGCATTTCTGCCTTGGCTTCCCTGGCGGAGTATCCTCTTTTCTTCAAACATGTTTTGATATGGTCCACACGTGTAGCTGGAACAGTGTCGGGTTCCCGTGGACTTGGTTGGTGTGCGGATGTATGAGTATGTTCGGCCAATCTGGTAACTTGTTGGACTTCCGTGATCTTCTATTAGGTCTGGGAACCATACTCTCGCTGGCCAGTATGGCGCGACCAAGGTCAGTTGTAGCGCCTGTGTCTGTTTAATCTTCAACAGTACTTTCGGTAGTAATATCAGTGGTGGAAACGCATAAGCATTTAGTCCTTCCCATGATATGTTCAGTGCATCTGTTGCCCAGGCTTGAGGATCTGGAACTGGTGAGACAAACGTCTGTAGTTGTTTGTTGAACCTCATGGCAAACAGGTCTATGCATTGGGATCCTATTTCCCTTATGATGAGCCGAAATGCTTCTGGATGGAGCATCCATTCCGTAGGTGACGGGTGCAGTGGTCGGGAGAGAGTGTCTGCAAGCACGTTCTTGGCTCCGGGTATGTGACACACCTTTATCCAGATGTTTGCCTCCTCTGTGATTTCAAACAACTGGAATGTGAGCTGTAGTAGGCTTGGTGATCTTGTAGATCCTTGCCGATTTATGGAGAATGCCACTGTAGAGTTGTCCGTGTGGACCATCAGCATTCTGTTGATCAGTGAGCACAACCATAGTTGTAAGGCGTTGATCACAACTTTCATCTCCAGCAGATTGATGTGAAGATGCTGCTCTGTTTTGGACCAGTTCCTTGATGCAACTTGATTGTTGAGATGTGCACACCAACCTGGTATCGATGCGTCTACGTAGAGATGTGTGTCGAAGGCCAGCTCTTGTAAATAGGTCCCTATGCAGACGTTCGTCCTGTGGGCCCACCAAAGTAGGTACCTCTTAAGATAGTCTGGCAGCAAGATAGGGTCGATGCTGTCCAGATGTTTTGTCAGGAACCGTAGCAGCAGCCTTAGTTGTAACCTTCCTGTGCGACGGAGAGATGACTGCTTGTGGGATCATGGCTTGTATCTTGACCCAATGATCTTCTTCGACCACAATTCGATCTTGTTTGATTCTAACTCCAACTTCATCAGGTTCACTAGCCATCTTAGTTGCGTGAGCAACTTAATTGTGAAGTTCAGCTGCTGTCTTAGTTGATTGGCACTTTGAAGAACCTGTATGCCGTCGTCCAGATAACCGGCACTGCATAGACCTCGATGCTGCAGATAGGTGCAGATAGGTGCCGATAGGCTTGGTTATTCGTATGAATAATCATAGAGCCGATGATATTCCAAACGGTAGGACGTTCCATTGGAAGTGCTAACCTCTGATTGCAGTGATGATACATCATTCTTCCCCTTATACACGCAGGCTCTCTTTGTTGATCAGCATGCATTGAAGAGTTGTCTATTTATAGCAAGGCTGGCTCCAGTGTAGCATCGCAGGGGACAAAGTCGTCATTATGCATCTTATTAGTGTAGACATCATCTATATCTTTAGAAGGAGACTCCAAGTTCAAACCATTGGCTATCCAAGCTGTAACATCTGAGTCCGGGAAGACGAAGTCTGGTTATTCATCAGTTATCTCCTGATCGGTAGAGCTATGCCTCCGCGAATCATCCTTCTGCGAACCTGTATCCCTTCTCAAACCTCCATCATCCTTTCGCGAACTGAAGATTCCTCTCTTCGCGAACATCTATCTGTGGATTCATCTCTTCTCGAACCTCTATCTGTGGATTCATCTCTTCGCGAACCTCTGTGACGTGAGCTTTCTCTTCGCGAATCTCTGTCGCTAGATGTATCCCTTCGCGAACCTCTGTGATGTGAGCCTTCTCTTCGCGAACCTCTGTCTCGTGATGAGTGACTTCGCGAACGTCTGTGAGAGATATGAGATCTCAATCTAGAACGGCTAGGTGTAGCAGATGGATCTCGAACGTTGAGGGTTCGCAGATGTAGAACGGTGAGTAGGCATCTCATGTCTTCCATCCTCCTCCAAGATGACAGAGTTGTCCGACTGTGGAGACCTTCGCAAAGGTGTACGTTCGCCAACGTAGTCTTGAGACATAGTTCTATGAGGCGTAGGTTCGCGCAGGTCCGTAGGTTTGCGCACGATGTCAGTAGATGAGAGGCTTCGCCGAGCCTTTGCTTCTTCCTTTGAACCTACGTTGATTGAAGCTGCTGCGATGTAGAAGAAGCGTTTGCGGACGCTGATGAGTTGTATGCCACGACTTCAATCCGTTGAGAAGTTGGTGGTAGTTCGTCAAACAGCTGGCCTGCTAGTAGTCGTGGAAGTCGATTGAGTCGCCGATCTCGTAGGTACTTTGGGTAGAAGTAACGGGGGATCATAAAAAACATCTACTACATGCGGAGGTAATATCTCTTCGTTGAAGGATTTCTGATGCGTTGACTTACTAGGCCGTGTAGATTTACCCTCCGATCTGGTAACAGATGCTTTCTTCTGCAACGTAGAAGAAGATGACGTCTTTTTTCTTAGCCTGAGTCGGAGTCAACTGCATTGTAGCCGATCTCTTCTATTTACTCAACAAAGCACCAGTATTATAACATTTTAAAAAAAATTATAACATTTTTACATAAAATACAATGTAGTTATAGCCAAATCCATACATAGTGTAATTTTGAAGAATAGGACCTATATAAAAAGAATATAATGCCGTATACGGGACTCCAGTGCTCGCCCAACCATCCACTTGGGCGAAAAGGGAGAGAGTGACAAGTAAGGTTGGTCACATGACTGTTTACACGGGGAAAAGGGAGGTAACTCGTGGGTGAGTGTACTTTTACATCCGCTTCGGGAACTTCAAGGGATTCAAGTGTTCCACTACCATTCGCAAGGAAAAGGGAGATAAGCAAAAGATCATGAGTCAGGATAAGAAAAAATTATCAATATTTACTAAATGTCATGATCGTGATACTGTTGCATGCATATCAGAAATGGTAGATCTAGTTATCTTCATCGTATGTAAAAATATGAAAACTCATGTCGATTGTAAACATTTTATAGTTTGCTCTACTGCTTTCTTGATTAAATCGTCTCAATTAATTATCCTGTGTTCCTATATTAACAAGTGTGATGTTCACTGACGCCGGTGTCAAGCAGTCAGTAAGGCACATGCTAATTACCACTCACGTGTGATTGCTTGTATACGATCGGATCATCCGACCGGCTGTGTTTGATTGTCGGTTTAACTAATGTTTTTACAATATATTTACAATAATCAGTTGCTAGATTGGTGTGTCTGAGTTGGAATGCAAGAATGTCGGATTAACGAGAGTAATAATCACTGTTTTAATTGGTTCCCTAAATTTTTGTCGGATTAGCCTGATTGTCGGATTAATGAGTGTCGGATTAACAAGAGCTGACTGTGCACATATTGTTTGGGTGCTTTGAGCATGCATGGTGCATGGAGAACTGCGCATGACAAATGGACTATTATTATTATTAATTTCATGGTTTGCATTGTTTATTTTAAATTTTACATACCTGCCCCCCCTACCCCCACCACTATGCAAGGCCAATAGACCATACTGTTTGAAGAACTTTGGAACAAAATTCACCCCTGACTTCTAAATGTTTCAGGAAACATGTATTATCTGGGAAAATTTAAGCATAACAATTTATATTTTCAGGCATAAGTGAGTGAGTTTGGTTCCACGCCACTCTTAGCAATATTCTAGCAATATTATGGCAGGGGACATGAGAAATGGGCTTCACACGTTGTACCCATGTGGGGAATCGAACCCGGGTCTTCGGGGTGACAACATTTTCAGGAACTACGTGTGTAGCCTGATATACTCAATGAATGTGAAGACTAACATATCTTATATATTTGGGACTGCACTTTCTCAGTAGAGTACAGATTCTAGTACCTTTTGAGGGTTGAGCCCCATCTGAGATTTAAACCCACACTCTCAAATTCACCGAATTGCCAGAACACAAAGTCAGCCATAACCTACATCTTACTGCTTTCTTACAGTGTCTTCAATGTGTAGAATCAATGAAAAATCATGAAAACTCTTTGAAATAGTTATCGTATTGAAGTTAATCAGGGCATATGCAATGAATCATATTAAAAATTCAGTGATTATTTGTTAAAACTGAACATATCAGGAATTACCGTAAGTTTATTCCTTGAGCAAATAAAACAATCAACAACAAAAATTAAATGCTACTAAGCTTGTTTTAAAATGCATCAGCCAATATTTTACTTCCAGTCATATCCCTGAAACTAATATATATGCCAGTGTGTAATATAAACTCTGCTAATCTGAAACCACTCGAAGTAAAAACTTACAAGAAAGTAGTCCAGGTCAAGGTCAGCCAATGTTTTTGGAAGGTCATCATAACCAAAGTAGCCAAGTGCAAAGGAAGCAAATCCTTGAGAAGCTAACAGTGCAGCTCGGAACTCCACAAGTCCTCCGGTGGAACCAAACATGTCGAGCACTCCAGGAAAGGGGCCCACACCTGGATATGTGAAACATGATTCCAAGTGAAAAAAGACTAAAATGAAGCATATCGTAGATGTTTACCACCTTGTTGAAATTCATGAGTGAGTGAGTGAGTTTAGTTTTACGCCACACTCAGCAATATTCCAGCTATATGGCAGCGGTCTGTAAATAATCGAGACTGGACCAGACAATCCAGTGATCAACAGCATGAGCATCGATCTGCACAATTGGGAACCGATGACATGTGTCAACCAAGTCAGCGAGCCTAACCACCCGATCCCGTTAGTCGCCTTTGACGACAAGCACACTCGCCTTTTGTGGCAACCATGGGTTGCTGAAGACCTATTCTACCCCGGATCTTCAATGGTCTTCAAATTCATGATCATGTATACAGTGCTACAAAACAGGTAACATGGGTGTGTAATGTAATGTTGTGTGTAGGTATGTATCTTCCTGCAAACCTCATCACATGTATTCAGGCTGCACCCTTTGGTCTCTCGGTGAGAGAGTGAGTGTTGTTTATATTGTTTCTAGAAATATTTCAGTGAATAAGTTAAGTTTAGTTTTATGCCACTTTGAGCAATATTCCAGCAATATCACAGCGTGAAATATTCCAGCAATATCAAGGCAGGGCAAATGGCCTTCACACATTGTACCCATGTGTGGATTTCAAACTGGGTCTTGGGTGTGAAGAGCTAATGCTTCAACCCAGAGGCCCAGATAAGCTGCGTTATCCATGTAAAATACGCATATAAAATTTCCAATTACGCATTGAAAAATAATTGTTGCGTACCAATTACGCATTTTAAATGTTAGATACGCAAAAAGTTTAAAACAAATGCGTATGGAATATATTTATAAAAATTGCTTGCGTAATGAAAAAGACATCGATTGCTATCAAGTTGTACTGTCAGTATAGGATGAGTGATTTTTTTATGAAATCATTTCCATTATATTTAAGTTGGTTTTGATTAGGTATGACATAAGGCAGAACATACCTGCTTAGTAAACTTACTCAATGACATAATACTTAGGTGAGTAAAATGACTGAAATACGCACATATTTGAAAGCAGTGGGTAACGGAAAATGAAATACCCACTCAACATTCATAAAACCCACTCCAAAAAAAATACAGTGGGTACAGTACCCACATGAGCTCTGTTTAACCTCTGGGGAAAAATAGTAAATTTTCATTGATATTTGTCTTGCTTTAGGAGACCATTATCTCCAAACTTACTGTTTCATTGTCAGTATTGTACAGTTGACATTTATTGTGTGAAAATCCTAAATACTATTTTCCTGACATCTTCAAATAGTGTGTGAGTGAGATTAGTTTTACGTCGCTTTTATCAATATTCCAGTAATATCACTGCTGGGGACACCAGAAATGGACTTCACACATTGTACCCATGTGGGGAATCGAACCCGGGTCTTCAGCACGACGAGCGAACACTTTAACCACTAGCCCACCCCTACATCCCCCAAATACAATACATCAGCATCAATATAGGTATACTTGACCCCAGTCACAATCATGTGAACAAATTATCATAAACATATCAGCAGGAGTAATGCAAAAGGAGTAGTCAGGAAAATGGTTCTGATAAAAAACTCTGCATTAAGGAAGATATTGGAATTAAAAAAATTGTATCAATATAAGCATGTAGCAGCAGCCAGCCCCTTTCAAATGACTGTAAGTCCAGTTTCCATCCTCGCCAAACTTTAATGACTTATGTCCCCCCTTCTATGTCATTCACAATCAGATTCTGTTTTTCATACCACATGCATTTGCTAAAAAAGTAAACGCAGAGCCCAGTCAAGAAACTAAGGGAGATCACTCCAGTATACAAGTTGCCATGGAAACTCTCAACAGATGACAAAAATGTTGATATTTTATGAGTGTTTTATGAAACTTGCCGCAGCCGTATCAGCCATATGGGCAAAAAGAATAAAAGTAAATTTTCCCTGTACAAAATTGTGGCTTATGAAAAACAAATTGTTTAACATTTTATTGTGATGTTTTGATAAGATTTTCAAGTCAACCTGTTATCTGTTTGATGTTTATAATCTACTATAATATATGTAACCCTTTCCACTTCTGCTCAATATCGATACAAAACTCGGTATTGAAATATCACAAGACTCACAATAGAATATACAAGAAGTATCCATACATTAATTTTCAGGGCCGGATACAGCTTTTTGAGAAGTGGGGGTGGTAGGGTGCACAGTTCATTTTCACCCGTTTTCACGAGAGTTTCAATGGTCATTTAATAAATGTTCTGGACAGAAGTGGGGTGCCTACACTACACTGGATCTGCCTATGATTTTACTGTAAAATAATCAAATTCATCACAATAGACAAAAATTTTGGTGAGTTAACTTTATCCAGTCAGATTCATATCACAGGAAATCACATTTTAAAGGCTAGATATTTTTTAAATTCCTGGTGATTGTAAACTTTGCCAAATATGGCAAAGTGCTTAGTTACGCTCATAAACAATAAAAAAATTAACTTACAATGTTTACTGCTACATAACTCCTCACCTGCAGGCAAGAAGAGAGCTCCTCTGAGAGAACCTTCCCGTACCACAATCTTCCTCACAGCACTGTGTTTGTACCAACGCTTTACCACCCCTGTGGCCAGCACTACTGTCGTGGGCAGCTGGAGGTCGTCAAAGGGAATGTGGTCATCTATCACAGAGAGCTTGAACACCAGAGGAGTCGTCACATCTGATGTGATGATACGTGTCTTCATGGACGCTCCAGGAACAGGCTTCAGACTCCAGAACAGACCCATGCTGTCAACACCTGTGTGGAAACACGTGGACTCAATCACAGAACTCTATACACAGTCATATCAATGCAGGGGTGGAAATAACCCATTGCCCAACGCCCGAGTCCAGTGTTTTTTTCTGTCGGGCAAGCAAATTTGTATATCACACTGTACCGGGGTCCAGTTGATATTCCAATGTTAATTATGTTGTTTATTTAAAAAATCAACAAGAAAACGGCCGGTATAGTTGAAAAATTATCAGGGCAAGTGATTTTACATGTGCCACTGTACCGGAGTACACTAGCAATTTTAATGTTACTTCCACCCCTGCAATGTTTTGTTAAAGCATGCATGGATGGTAATTAGTGTTGGGAATTGGTAGAAATCTCACAATTGATGATTCCTTCATTACCAACGAACAATCATCGATAAAAATTGGTTAGCGTCATTTTTCAGATCCAGGTTGTTATTGCAGATATGTATAACATGATGCAACTTGCTACTTTAAAGTGATGACTAATATATCATGAACATAAACTTCCCGGAGTCTTCAAGAAATATTCAGTCATGGTTTTTCAGTTAGTGAAGTGAGTTTTCTAAGAATTAAACACGTTTTCAGGCCCTTACAACTTCAACGATATGTTCCATTGTCAAGTATTTCAAAGACTAAAATAGTAGTTCCAAAATAATTTATGTTGGATTATGAGAAAATGTGATTGATTGCTTGGTCGTTTGGTCACTGCGACCAATCTTCGACTATTTAAATTAATCGGAACACCACTAATGGTAATTAGCACCAGTCTTTTGGCACAAACTGTTGGGTTCTTTTGGTCAAATGTATGCCATGTGCCATTATAATTTCAAACATTTACAGTGGGTATAGTTCTATATCCCCACTTTGGGAAAAGATCTGTAGCCTCATCTAAACAGAAAGGATAGGCTATGCTGAACCTTCTGCCCCTTAATTTTTAGTAGAAGAGGGGAGGTGGGTAGGCAAGTGGTTAAAACGTTCGCTCGTCGCACCAAAGAACCAGGTTCTATTCCCCACATGGGTACAATGTGTGAAGCCCATTTCTGGTGTCCCTGCCATAATATTGCTGGAATATTGCTAAAAACCAAATCACTCACTCTTAGGGGAAGGTCTAGCAACATGTGAGGAGAAAGAACAAGTGAAACTTATTATTTGCCTTGGGAAGAACTGGCCTGAACTTCCAATTCCCTGCAGAGAACTGACTGACTGAGTTTGGTTTTACGCCGCTTTTAGCAATATTCCAGCAACATCACGGCGGGGGACACCAGAAATGGGCTTCACACATTGTACCCATGTGGGGATTCGAACCCGGGCCTTCGGCGTGATGAGCCAATGCTTTAACCACTAGGCTACCCCACCAACCCCCCCTGCAGAGAAACTGGCCTAGGCTAGTGTATCCCCAAGGACAAACTGGCCCAGGCTCCTATATCCCTGGGAGGATCCAGACAGATAGATGTTTCAGCTTATTACACTAGTAGTACTATGTTTATCATCACACAGGTGATAAAGAGCAGCCTTGATGGTAACACACTGAAATGTGTCTTGAAAAAGTGAAAAGAAGTTTACCTGACAACAAGTTACAGACGTAAAAAATGTATTAGGAACAAAATGGAATGATACATCAGTTCAATTTCCCATAACACATAATTTTAATATTTATCGATATCCAAATATATTCAACATTATATCTATTTACCATACCTACTTCTTTGAGTGGCATTTTTAGAACTTGGGGAGTAAGAGAAGGACAAACTTAATGAATGAAGAACTTTTTTATTCAGGTGATCCGACGTTTCAATACAGATTCTTGCATTTTAATACCTCAGGGCTCCAGATAACTTTTGAGGATGTGGGTGTACTTACTACTCATATTGCTGAGAACTGAGAATTTTGAAGGAGTACAGACATATTTTTGTGTGAGCGAGCCGGTGATGTGGTTTGTTATTTATAATATCGAACAACTTTTCAGCTATTAAACTTTAAATGCGTTAGATGTACAAAGGTATTTATGTGCATACATGATACGCTTGAAATCTTATATGATGTCGTACGTCTTTGATTTTTAGGCGTCCATTACGCATGTTGCCCTGTACCTGCTTGACAACGATACAAGAATCTGTATCAATCGTCACATCACCTGAATAAAGAAGTTGTTCATCCATAAAGTTTGTCCCTATTCTACCATACCAACCTTTATATGTTCCCCCCAAGGAAGCAAGCTGGGAAATATCAACCTGTCCATGCTGGTCTGCTACAAAATATCCACATGAGCTGAACACTGCCTTTCTTTCTTCCACCCATGCTTGTACAGTCACTCGCTGTAGTGGACGAAGACTGCTGACTGTGATTGAGATCCTCTCATCCACCAATGCCACACCTGGGCTGACATTGAGACAAGGCCTGCTGGGACATGTCTGACCTCCGCTTGTAAACTGTCTCGCCATCACTCTGGTGCAGGACCTGTGCAACACTGCAAGCCTCAGACCTGGCCACCTACACATGTGCATCATTAATACAAATGTACTACAAACTATTTTATGATTAATATTAGATCACATGGCCAAGTCAAAGGTAGCTGTTTTTGTTTTATGCCGCATTCAGCAATATTCCAGCTATATAGGGGCGATCTGTAAATAATCAAGTCTGGACTAGACAATCCAGTGATCAACATCATGAGCATCGATCTATGCAGTCGGAATATGATGACATGTGTCAACCAAGTCAGCGAGCCTGACCCCTAATCCTGTTAGTCGCCTCTTTCAAAAAGTATGGGTTGCTGAGGACCTAAACTCTTTACGGGTAAAGGTTCACCAAGAGGGACTAAGAAAGAACTATTTTACAATAAATATTAATTCATGTGGTCGAATCGAGGGACTTGAAAGTTTTTACTTATTAGTTTATTATGAAATTTATTTGAGAGAAAAGCCTCAAACATACACTGACCCTGCATTTCCACCTGACTTAGGACAATGTCATCAAAGGTGGTTACTGTGATTTGAAACCTCTGATTCAATACATTTTCAAAATTCAGGCAGAATACTTGAATGGTTGATGTAAATCATTTTAACAACCTGCACAGATAATGTGAACATGTTCCAAGCACAAAATGCTACTATATACTGTAACATTTACATGCTGAAACCAAGGCAGCGGGGTAGCCTGGTAGTTTAAGTGCTCGCTCATCACACTGAAGACCCGGGTTCGAATCCCCACATGGGTACAATGTGTGTTTTGGTGTCCCCTGCCGTGATATTGCTGGAATATTCCTAAAAACAATGTAAAAGTAAACTCACATGCTGAAATCAAGGTTTATTTACTCTATTGTTTTGTAGTTTATCAACAAACTTTGAAATAATAATGCACACTGAAACATTGTACATCATCACTCCTGTCGTCTACAAAGTTTGTGTTAAATAGTGAGTGAGCGAGTGAGTTTAGTTTTACGCCGCACTCGGCAATATGCCAGCTATATGGTGACGGTCTGTAAATATCGAGTCTGAACCAGACAATTCAGTTATCAACAGCATGAGCATAGGGGGGCAGCTGCTCCACCTAGATGTTTTTTTACAGATTATTTTTAGTACATCAAAGTATTGATATAGCACTCTTTTGAGTGTCATATCAACCCACCATAGCCCTGAAATCCACACCTCAATTAATGACGCAAAGATTGCGGGCAGCCCATCTGACAGATGATAGGTACCAGAATGATACACCTAATTACATATGATTACAGCAACCATTAATAAATTAAATAAGGAATCCAGGGCAATGACATGGACTACCCCGAACCCTATATACTAAAGGGATATTTTGCAATACCTAATGATAATTAACAAACAGAAGACTTAATTAGAAAAAGGATTGCATTGAATCCACATGACTCAAAAATATTGAACAAACCTGAAGATATCATGTATACGATGTAAATTTCATGTGCATTTTCAGGACTATCAATTGAATTTAATAATAAAACTATTATATATTAATACATAAACTGAACAAAACAGTTGTTTTGCATATATACAGATATGTCTAAATATGTTTATAAAGTTAAGTTCAGAACCTTATGTACAGATGCTACAATTTTGAACAAAGAAACTTCATTATAAAACATGAAAATATTGGTCAAACGTAGCAGCAAAAAAAAATATTTTATACAAAATTGGAGATAACATAAATGGAATCATTTTACCTTCAGAAAGCAGGAAATTGCATATGAGAGCATCTACTTTTTAAAAATTCCTGGACCCCCCAAGATGCTCAGGCACTTCGCAGCATCGAATGTGGATTGTGGCCCCAATTAAGAAATGTTAACTACGGCCCTGAAATCACCCAGCTATTCAGCATGACGAGCGAACTTCAGACAGTATGTGATGTGCTTGAGTGAGTGAGAGAGTTTAGCGTTCTATTAGGAGCTCATATTTCTCAATCCCAAGTAGTCTGTCTCACAGTCCCTGGACCACATTATTTTCCCTACTGCCTTGCCCTCCCTGCAACATTGCTAAACTTTCCCTAAAACCCTAAATGAAAGAAGTCTAGATTTCCCCAGGTTATATATCTTATCTCATTTGGGCTCCTGTTCAATTTAAATGGGTTTATTTGTCAGTAACAAAATTTATTCAGAGCCTCAGCGTTAGTCTAGATCCCAATTAAGGCGTGAGGGACACATCACCAAATATTGAGGTATAAAGACATCAAATGGTATCCGAAAATTAAAATAACAGCCTTTGAACTTCCGGCTGTTGCCGTTCAGTATGTTATTTGTATTAATTAAAAACATAAATTATATCTAAGACAATTCGAAAGTGAATTAAATTAGCTGTGTACGAGAACCCAAACTTGCCAAACCCTCAGACTTAAGTCTAGCCGAGAGCCGCGCTGCGGCTATAGATCTACAGTCAAGACATGAACCTGCATCGCGATATCGCGATGCAGGGTCATGTCTTGACTGTATAGGACCGCATCGCGGCTCTCGGCTAACTTAAGTCCAAAAGAAAAAAAAACACGCAGCAGGAACGATCGGAATTCTCATGTGGAACTCTGTCCCCTGGTGTATCAAGAAACCCATATTCATTTTATCTTTGTTTTAAATGTACTTTGTTTCCACATGTTTTGGACTTCTCAATCTCATTCTCAGGTCAAATGGAGTCGCAAGCCAACCTTTCACCCCACAATCGGTAACAACTAGCAGAGACCATATAAATACAACTAGGTCGACCCAGTTAGTTCACATATTACTGGACACGGACGCGGAAGAACGCTGAGTAGCTGTTTACTTACATCTATATATTCCTGGAGAAAATAGTCACTGAGTCACATCACAGTGTCGTCGATTTTGTGATTTTGTTTACATCCCAAACTTCTGCTTGGAGCGATCACCCAAGCGTTGTCTAAGGGGAGACAACTGTAACCCTTTGTTTTCTGTCCATGACAAAAAAAATATCTGACCATAACTATTTCTGGTCTAGTCGCCCTAAAACTATATCACCACCATCACCACCTATCTGGCCATGAAAAAGAAATAGTGGATCAGTCCATTCATAGGACATCTTGTTTACTTATGAAATGAAGTAAACATTTATTTTCAATACTTCTCTCAGACTCAAAATATAGAAACGCGTGCTTGTCAGTAAAGACCGCGATTAAATAAAACATTTCAAATTCTTAAATTCGTCCGTCAGCTGATCAACATATAGATTGTTTCCAAGCTGACACGAAATTATAATATAAACATCCCCAAAACATTTCGTGAAATGTTCAAGAAATGTTTTTCAAAAAGATTTTATTCACGTGGATTTGCATGGTTCCAGAAACGTTTTAGAAAGATTTTCGTAAACATTTGGCTGTAATGTTTTAAAAATGTTGTTTGGGATTATTTTTTTTCGAAATGGTTAGCAAATGTTTTTAAAATATGTTATATTCACGTGAAGTTGTATGGTTCCAGAAACATTTAGCAATGTTTTCTCTTAACCGTTGGTTGTAACATTTCAATTATGATTTTGTAAAATGAACCATAAATAATTCTGAAACCGTTTCATTCACGTGAATTTGTATGGTTCGGGGAAACGTTCTGATGACATTTTCTGTAAACATGTGGTTTTAACTTTACAGAGAATAGAATATCTCTTATATCAATTCCCCGTGTTTTGTTCAAAATGTAAAACACTGACTTTTAACAAAATAGGTAATATGTCTATGACAAATAGTCAGACATTGTTACTCCTAGCAAGGAAACAAAAAAAGAACAGAATGGCAGGCATGTGTATAATATTATATTTACTCAAATTAAGAGTGAGTGGGTTAGTGAGTTGGGTTTTACGCGGCTGTTAGCAATATTCCATCAATATCACGGCGGGGTAAACCTAGGCTCAGCACAGCAGTGTAACGAATGATACTGAGCCTAAATTTAATTAGACTGACGGAGGGGGACACCAGAAATTGATTCACACATTGTACCCTTGTGGGACCGACTGACTGACAGAGTTTGGTTTTACGCCGCTTTTAGCAATATTCCAGCAACATCACGGCGGGGGACACCAGAAATGGTTTCACACATTGTACCCTTGTGGGAATCGAACCCGGACTTGGGCGTGACGAGCGAACATTTTAACCACTACGGCCTTATGCTCGAGAAGACACGGAGAGCCGCTGTTAGGTTGACATGTGTTTGGATATTCTATTTCACCTCACAAACATTAGGCAAACAGAATGTTCAAAATCTAAGTGATTAATCAATCATAAAGAGTGAGTGAGTGAGTTTAGCTTTACACCGCATTCAGCAGTATTCCAGCTATATGGCGGCGGTCTGTAAATAATCAAGTCTGGACCAGACAAGCCAGTGATCAACAGCATGAGCATCGATCTACGCAATTGGGCTACGATGTCAGGGGTTTTCGAAGATGTAAGACAAAACGTATTTTTATCTTTATTGTCATTTGAAAGTTTCTGTCTTACTAACCTTGAGTGGTAAAGGATATATTCATCTATTTCACACAAATATATCAAGTTTTTCCTACAAAAATAGCGTTGATGACATCGTATCGGCGAAACCGTTGCCGCTGTCGAACATCCGGGGATTTTGTATGGGTTTTCGACGATAAGCCATACTTTTCGCTCCGCACTGCGAGGGCATGTTGATCACATGGCTTCCTATTTATATATTGCCTGTCACTAGCAGATGACTGATCTAACTGAATTGTCACTTGCGAGTTTATGTCATATTGGCAATTGATTTTGCATCTGAAGTGGTATTAACGATCTTGGGTAAATAATATTGATGTTTGTTTGCTTTTGATATAACTTAACTTCCGGATTTCCATTGCCAATAAAACTTCTCAAGACAGAGACTGGGCATCCGCCCTACCTATGAATCTGCTTGTGCACTCCGATCGCGCACGTACTCCCCCGCCATATCGAGTTGAGTTGAGTTGAGATGGGCTTTACGTCACATCGGCATTATTCCAGCCATATAGTGACGAGAACAAGTCTGCATTAATATACATTGTAAGTACAAAGTGGTTTCGTTTCAAAGACATACATTCATTACGTTGTCATTTTAGAACAGAGAATGTCATAGCATTAAATTGAAAAGCAGGTAAATTCGTTAGTGACATTACACAGTTACATTTTATGATATAGATCAACTTCCCTCAGGTAGTTCAGTATCAGATGAGCGCTCACGCTGGAGAACAGATCTTTCAGATTGGTTGCGTGATAATGCGAGTCCCTTGCAGATGTAAAGTCCACACAGTCAAGCAGAATATGCTTTACGGTGAAAGCCTCATCGCAGGAGAGACATATGGGGGTCCATCCCCATCCGTTTTTAGCAGATAGTCATGTGTAAACCGACTGTGGCCAATACGACATCGTCGTAAAATTACTTCATCACGTCTTGACTGGCAACCCAAGTAGGTATAACCGATTGTTGGCTTCAATTCATGGAGTTTGTTTCTTCCTACTTGAGTGTCCCACCTTTTTTGCATCAAGTCCCGAGTATAGCTTTTGATAGTTGGTTTGCAATCACTGTACGGGATTAGCAGTGGAGATAGGGGCTTTTCAAGAGCTGCTTTTGCTGCAGCATCGGCCTTAGTGTTACCTGCTATGCCGACGTGACCCGGCAACCAGCAGAGGATGATGTCATATCGGCCAGTAGAAAGGTCGTTGTACAGTTCTAATATGTCCAGGATGATTGGGTGACTTGAAGTCACGTTTTGAAGTGCTTGAAGGCAGGATAATGAATCTGTAAATACGATGAAGTTTTTGGACTGATTTTGCTGTTGAATGTAGGTCAAAGCTGAGAAGATAGCTTTGGCTTCAGCGGTGAAAATGGAACTGTTGTCGGGGATCCTAGAGGAGACAGTCTTGGCACCAATGACTGTAGCGCCGGCAACTTGGCCATCGTCCTTGGATCCGTCTGTGAAAATGGATCTGTGAGTGTTATACTTCGAACGTAACTGGTTGTATTCCTGTTGGAACACCAAAGGATTTGTTTCAGACTTTTTGAGTTTGGTGAGGGTAAGATCGAATTGTGGTTTCACCATTTGCCATGGTGGTGAGGACAGAAGTCGGTAAGGTGCAATGATGTTGAGATCAATTTTAGCTGCAGATATGTGTGGTTTGATCCTGATTCCAAGTGGTGGAACCAGGCTTGGCAGTTTAGGAAATAAGTTTTCATACAGCGGGTTGAAAACACAATTGTATGCTGGATTGGACTCATTTGAACGTAATTTAGTGATATACTGCGGTGAGAGTTTAATGCGGCGTTGTTCAAGGGAAGGTTCGTTAGCCTCCGCATATAGACTGTCTACCGGAGAGGTCCTAAAAGCTCCCAGGCAGAGCCTCAGCCCTTGGTGGTGGATAGAGTCTAACTTTTCTAAATTGCTTTTGCAGGCTCCACCGTAGACAATGGAGCCATAATCTAGTTTACTGCGAACTAATGATCTGTACAAGTGAAGGAGGGTGGTCTGATCCCCTCCCCACTCTGTATTTGAAACTATTGTATTTAGCAAGTCTAGAGCCTTCAAGCACTTTGTTTTCAGATATTTTATGTGTGGTAAGAATGTCAGGTGGTGGTCGAATATGAGTCCAAGGAATTTGGCCTCTTCTACTACCTTGATGGGAGTACCGTCTAAAGTTAGGTCTGGATCCTTGTGTGGTTTGTATTTACGACAAAAGTGAATACAATTTGTTTTGGATTTTGAAAACTTAAAACCATTTTCATTTGCCCATTTTTGGATTTTGTTAAGGCAGAGTTGTAGCTGCCTTTCTATTGCGGGCATGTTCTTACCACGACATGAAATATTGAAATCATCCACGAAAAGGGACCCATCAACGCAACTGTTCAGAACGTTAGTGAGGCTGTTAATTTTGATGCTAAAAAGTGTGACAGCCAGGATGCTGCCTTGGGGGGACGCCCTGATCTTGGTGGAAATACTCAGACAGTGTGGAACCCACCCGAACTTGAAATTGTCTGTTATTTAGAAACCGAGATATGAATTGAGGTAGTCTACCCCTCAATCCAAACTCGTGTAAATCTTTTAGGATACCATGTTTCCACGTTGTATCATATGCTTTTTCTAAATCGAAATAGATAGATACTGCATGTTGTTTGTTGACAATGGAGTTTTTGATGAATGATTCCAGACGCACCAGATGGTCAATGGTACTTCGGTTTTTTCGGAAACCACATTGGAGGTCACTGAGGAGGTTATTGGTCTCCAAGTACCAGATTAATCGATTGTTGACCATGCGCTCCATGGTTTTGCAAACGCAGCTAGTTAGTGATATAGGACGGTAGTTTGAGGGATCAGTATGATCGCGACCGGGTTTTGGTATAGGGATGATAATGGCATTGTGCCACGAAGGGGGAAAGTGTCCGGATGTCCAGATGTCATCAAATATATTTAGGAGTGTTTCCAAGCCTGTGTCAGGGAGGTGTTTCAGAAGCTGATAATGGATTTCATCAGCTCCTGCCGCAGTGTCGTGAGCCTGTCCTAGGGCAGTACGTAATTCATGGAGGGAAAACGTTTCGTTGTAATCCTCCCCATTATCAGAGTTAAAATTGACTGGTTTCTTTTCTTGTTAGGTTTGGTATTTCTGGAACTGAGGGTTATAATTTGATGAGGAGGAGTGGTTTGCCAAAGTTTCGCCAAGTTTGTTTGCAATTTCAGATTTATTTGTTAGAAGGGAGTCACCATCTTTCAGGTGGTGAACTCTTGATTTTGACCCTTTGCCCTTGATCTTTTGAATCATGTTCCACACCTTGGACATGGGTGTGCGGGAGTTGATTTTTGACACATATTTCCTCCATGACCGGCGTTTAGTTTGTTTGAAGGTACGTTTTGCCCTGGCATTTGTCATTTTAACAGCATTCAGGTTATGCACTGTAGGATGTTGTCGGAAA